TGTGTGTGCTTGTATTTTCTTTTCCCAGAATCATTTCTAACATTAAAGAATTTTCATTACAGCCATATTAATAATAGTCTACTAATTTTTACTTGTTTCCTCACATCAGTCCTATTTTTTAATTCTATAACAACTCTATTTGTAAATTCTTTGTTTTGACCATTTCTTAAATCAGCTGGCATACTTTTTTTTTTTCTGATAAAAGACTTATAGTTGCTTTGTTTTTCTAGTATTTGGACTATTTCTTTCTGTTGCCCTCTCTCATAAACTATAGGGCTTGGCAGCAGTATTATTAAATAACATTTTTTCCCTTAAAAACTCCATAGACATTATTTATTTATTCTGGTATTTGTTACAGTGGAGAAGTTCACTGCCAGCCTGATTTTATTTTTACCTTTGTGAGAATCCTGTTTTACATGAGTCCTGCATTTGTAGGAATTTTCCTTTATCCTGAGAATTGAAGACTACAATAAGATATGGCTGCATGTAACTATGAAAATACTATGTAACAATAAGATATGGCTGCATGTAACTATTGAGAATACATTTTTAGAGAACTGTTTCCTTCACTGATTGAGTTTTTTCTGGAGCTAATCTGCTATTGATCATCTACTTTTAATTTAGTAGTTTCATCTCCATACAATATTTTAACTCCATACATTCTCTGGGATGGTCCCTTCTTTACAATTTCACTTCCAGTTTCATGGAGAATACCCTGAACTCAACCACAGAAAGAACAAAACTGATCTTTTTTTTTTTTTTTTTTAACTGTCTTACCTTAACCATGTAACTGATGGTAACTGGCATTAATCTCCTTATTCATCTTTACCTAGAATATCTAGAAAGAGAGCTGTTTTACTAATGGGTAAATAAGTCTCTCTGACTCCTTTAAGCTCAACCAAGATGGAAGGGAAAAGGTTCTAAGTTTACTTTGTTAGATCAATGGCCCATGAGGCAGTAAAGAGGAAGCTACAGTGGGAGACAACCACACCTCTTTACAAAACTTTCTAACCTCTGGGTATTGGGGCAGGCTGCATTTAGTTTGGGTCATACTCTCATTTTCTCAATGGAAGGAATGCTTTCATGGAGAGCCATACATCCCATTTTTAATATTGAGAGCTTAGTCATATCAGTATTCCTGTTCTGTGGGCTCGGAGGCACACCTGGCGCACTTTCAAGAAGCCCCAATACGAATGAGATTGGCCATACACCTAATGCCCCACAATCTGGAATTTTTTCTAGTCCCCACCATTACAAGCTGATAGGGGTAGGGGGCATTACTGGATAGCATTTGGAAGGCCTTCCCTCTCTTTCCCCTATTTAATCACATTCCGTTAATCAAGTATTGTTTGGCCTATCACTTGAGATGGATTCATCCCTGAGGGCTTGATATATAGATCCTGATCCTAGTTTCCAACATTCATAAGGAATTTTATTCTCATGTTATTTTTATCATTGGGAATCTAAATATAATTACATTAATGGGTTTTGGAGACCCAGTGTATGAATTCAATCACAAGCCTATGCAAAGCTTACCAATGAACAATTAAAAATAATAATGAGGTAGGCTCATCATATAAGAAATGTGTCATCTTTTTTTGAGGTAAAGAAAAATTATCGAAAGACAAAAATTAAGAAAGCAAGCTTTTAGAAGCCAGCAAACAGAACATCTGGCTCTAAGAATGAAATTTCCTCTTGGAATAAGGTAGAGAAAAAATTACAGTCAGCCAATAACAAGATTTAAAATTTCTACTTGAGCAGCTCAGATTTTAGGAGATCAGAAATTCATTGAAGAAAAGAGTAACTTAAGAATAAACTTAAGGGCCAGGTTTTCGTCTTACTGTGAAAACAGAAATCCAGGTAGGAGGACTTCACAGCCCACATGCCAACAGGAGGGATAATTAACTCAAATCCAGCAAAGAAAGTTAATCCCCTGTTAACTCAAATTGTGGTCCAGGGACAAGCACCATAGCCATCACTTCTGAGCATGATAGAAATGTAGACTCTCAGGCCCCCACCACTCCAGAACTACTGAATCAATATCTGCATTTTAACAAGATCCCCAGGTACATTAAAGTATGAGCAACATTAATTTCGTCCTACTTATGGTAGAGGAGAAAGCCCAAGATCTTAAGCTGGTAGAAATCTTTATGAAAGATGAATAGTAATGAACCACTTGGGGAAATAGGGTTTGCATTAGAAAATATAAAAACATTCCAAAAAGTGACATTGGGATTATCACTGGACTATCAAAGATAAGTCAAAACCCTGGGGAAATTACAAAGCTTAGCAAATGCAAGAGTTTAGGGAAGTGTACATGATGGACTACATGTTGGCCCTCCGTGGGTCCCTAAGGGCACAGGCCTGAAAGCACCAAATAGCAGCAGCTCAGTTCAGAAAATGGAGGACGAAAGGTGGTGAAATCTCTCCTAGGAGGCAGCAGTTAGAGGCTTGAGAAAATTGAGAGTAGGAAGAAAGAAGTTGGAAGTAGGAAGAAGCCATAGCAACAAAAGTGCCAGAAGTGGCATAGAGATTTTAAAAACAAAAGAGAACAAAAGGAGGGTTGGGCTTTAGAAATTGAGCAGAAGATACAAAAGGGTACAAAACCAAGAACTCTTCCCTGAGGAATTATTTTGAAAACTGAATGGAAACCCTGCTCAAAAAAAAAAGAAAAAAGAAATTTTTATCCCTTCACAGATGTTATGATTTCACACATTTAAAACATAATTGAAATATCGTCTCTCATCTACTCTACAAACACTTCAGCGGTTCCCATTATCAGTGCTCAGTTAACATCTTCATGAGGCATTTTCTACTATTCATTTAAAACTGAAATTTCTTTCCCCAATACCACCATGCCAGCACTCCCTAGCTCCCTGGCCTGCTTCATTTTCCTGTGAGTCATTTGTCACTTTCTAAAATAATCTTAATTTTACAAAGATTTGATTTATTGTCTTTATGTCTTTTTACTAGAATTAAACTCCACAGTAGGAGGGTTCTTCTGGTTTTGCTTACTACTGTTTTTCCCAGAGCTTAGTGCCTAGCATATACTAGAGACTTAATAAATATTTGCCTAGTAAAAATTCAAAAATGGAATGCCAAGAACACAAGTGTCAAAGGAAAAATGGAATGGAAAATTACAAAGTTTTAAATACTGAATATAGACTTTAATTAGAGTGGGGCACCTGGCTGGTTCAGTTGGAAAAGCATAGGACTCTTGATCTCGGGGTCATGAGTTTAAGCCCCACATAGGATGTAGAGATTACTAAAAAATAAATAAATAAACTTAAAAAAAAAATTTAAGCAAGTAGAATGTTTAATATAATATACCTAGTTTTACTGATTCTAAGATGCATTTTTTTCCTATTTTTACAACTCTAAAATCAGAGTATGTTTTATAGTCAACACTATCTTAGAATCCAAGCCAGCCTGGTAATGATCGCAATGTAGTTGTCATTCTGTATCCATGGACATTCAAAGAGACAGCATGAAAACTTGCAAAAAGGTATATTGGTGACTCCGAATAAAATCCAACAGACTAGCAGAGCACTCTTAACTTGTGGGAGGCAAATGGTATGGGGAGGGCATAGGGCAATTAATGTAATTTAACAATACTCTGAAGCAGGAGTCAAAAGCTGGCTGGTTAAACAGAACCCTAAAACCAGCTTAAGCTTTGGGCGCCTGGGTGGCTCAGTCGTTAAGCGTCTGCCTTCGGCTCAGGTCATGATCCTAGGGTCCTGGGATCGAGTCCCACATCAGGCTCCCTGCCTGGCAGGAAGCCTGCTTCTCCCTCTCCCACTCCCCCTGCTTGTGTTCTTGCTCTCGCTGTCTCTGTCTCTGTCAAATAAATAAATAAAATCTTAATAAAAAAAAACAGCTTAAGCTTTTAAAAGCCCAGTGCCAATATTGGGCTTTTAGCTCTTTTATCAACTCTTTTAGGAAATGCTACCTTCTGTGCCACTGAAGACAAAATGGTATAGAAAAACAGACAGTGACTGAGTGGAAAAACAAATCTAGAGTCAGATTCTAAAAGTGAAGAAGTTCTAGATATATCTTAGCCATTTAAGTCTGCTTCTAATTTTCCTATGTCTATGTATGCACCAGAGTGAGCAATCATAAAAATCTATTTTAATTCAGTCTAAAAGATCTCTTTCAATAAATACAAAATAAAAATTCCAGGTGAGAGAAAGCACTGCATGACGTTTCTGTTACTATGCTGATCTCCTTCCTTAAGATGGACTCCTGGTTGACCACAAGCCTCTCTTACTAACACATAATAGGAATAAATGTAAGATGTCTGAACACTTTACCCCTAGATGGAGCTCAAAGTACATCTTCCTTTATTCCACCCTAGAGAATAATGATGAGACGACAAGGACACATTAGTGAGCCATAGTACTAGGTACTGCTTCCCAAGTAAATGGTAAAAAGATCAATGATCAAATGTTCTTGCGTCTACAGGTCTTTGGATCTTTGTCATTCCCTTCAGGATTTACTTTCTCCTCTCATATAGTACGTGCCAAAAAAAAAAAAAAAAAAAAAATTGCTTCCTATCTTGAGAAGGCTATTGAGAAAATAAATGAGAAAATCAGGATATAGCCAAGGGGAAAAAGTGACATGGGACAGACAGCCTGCTTTTAGGCTAGGTAAGAAGAGTCCTTCTTGAGTTCTACATGGGGCTTTGAAACCAAAGCCTATACCAATAAAAAGTGTGAGTGTATGTGCAAGATGTGCTTAGGAATCTACAAGGGTGGTAGCAGCAAGCTCTGGTCTAGCAAATGTGGAACTGGAATGTTAATTTGAACTGCTTTTAGTAATATAGCTAAAAGTTAACTTTAAGAACCTTATTTTTCTGCTAGTAAAATATATAGGATTCTAACCATTGCCATCTTAGTAAATATAAAAACTTAAAAGCAATAAACAATCAATATGTCATTTTTAGGGGGAGAATAACGCATGTGTTCAACATAGACAAAATGTGAAGGAGTAAACTGGTTTACCTGGAATGATCCAAGAATATCCTTTAAGGGCTCTTCATAAAACTCATCTCTTCCAAAGAACAGCAGCAACTCAAAGAAGCTCCTAGAAAGAATAAGTGAATAATAACTTTCATTGCTTCTTTAATTTTTTTTTGCCCCAATTTAAAATATTCTCAAGAGATAAAAGCTATGTAATATCAGACACTTGGTTTTAAAACAGCCAGATTTGAATCATTACATTGATCATTTAAGATTCATGTTAGGTTTTCAGTGAAATTTTAGTAGAAGTGTCTTCAAAGAAAATACAAAGAAATATACTGAAGTTCTAGAACTATAGCATGAACAATTACATTACTCATGCCTACCAGTGTTCACAACGCAAAAAAAAAAACAAAGACGCAGTGGTACACCAGGTGGCAAAAATGTTGCTACACGTCAAGATGGTTTAAAATGGGTCCAGCTTCACCCTTGTACAATGGGCCCCTTAGAAAATTCAAAATCTAATTTTCTTCAGATGGATATAAAGGATGGATAAAATTAACACAAAAGTATAAGAAAATTAGAGAGTCACTGTGAAACTCTCTGCCAACATTTATGTTATAGTAGTATCACCAATTAGGTATCTAATAAACGATACATGGGTTCTCAAACTCTGGGCTTACCTTGATTATCCCACTCGTGACAGACAGCCCAAAAGTCTGTGGTTCCTCCTTTTTAAATAAACTAAATACTTCACATGTCTTTAATAATTCATAATTTCATACAGGAAGAAATATGACTTACTTCCTAATCATGAGCATGAAAAACTATGAAAATTATTTAGTATTACTTAGCAGTCCTAAAGTAGAGCAAATGACAAATACCACAGAATCTTTAGATTTTAATTCACCTACAAGATCCTCAACTAGGAATACCCAAAGTTGTATTTTTTAATCACTTTTTGCCTTTAATCCAAAGTAATCTCTAAGAATGAAGTTTTTAGAATACAAACACAACTATGAGACTATGTAGTTTTAAAAAAATTATATAAAAGACCCAAGTATTACACAATAATTAAATACTTCTAAATAACCATGTCCCATAACATATTTTATAAAACTTTAACTACTTAAAGTAGTTAAAAACAATTTTTAAATGTCAACAGACCAAAATATATAAAAGTAGTCAAAGAAAATGATACATAGAGAAAGAATCTTCATTGATTTCCTTAATTAAAAAGCTTAAACAAGTAATTTTTATTTATTTTTTAAGTAGGATCCACGCTGGGCGTGGAGCCCAATGCAGGGCTTGAACTCATGACCCTGAGATCAAGACCTGAGCTAAGATCAAGAGTCATACACAACCTAGGGTGCCTGGGTGGCTCAGTTGTTAGGTGTCTGCCTTCAGCTCAGGTCACGATCCCAGGGTCCTGGGATCGAGTCCCACATTGGGCTCCCTCCTCGGGGGGAAGCCTGCTTCTCCCTCTCCCACTGCTGTTGCTTGTGTTCCTGCTCTCACTATCTCTGTCTCTGTCAAATAAATAAATAAAATTTAAAAAAAAAAGTCATACACAACCCAATGAGCCACCCAGACACCCCTGAAGAAAAAGTTAACAACCTGGTAAAACACTGGGAGAGGACTACCTCACAGAAAAGAAACACAAGTGAATTTTTTTTCAAATATGAAAAGATGTTCTACTTTACTCAAATAAGTAAAAATTTATGAAGATGAAATACCTTTCCTATCCTATTTATGATAGGAATGAAAATGTGGACATATTCTACGATGGCTCTGATGTAGAGAAATAAGCTCTGGTATCCTGTTGGAGGTGTGGTAAGAGGTACTACCTCTTTTAAAGGGCAACACAGTAATAGTCATCAGAAAATTTACAATATGCACATAATCATTTGACTTAGCAATTCCACTTATAGAACTAAATCAGCCAAATATACACACATTAGCTCAAAGACTATATAGGGATATGCATCCACAAATGATTTGTAATAGCAAAAGAATAGAAACATACTAAATGTCTACCACAGGGGACTGGGAAAATTAATTACAATACACCCATACAATGAAATATAATACAAATGTTAATGAGAATATTAGTGAGAATACACTTAAATCTATATGAACAGACAAGGGGAAATTCCAAGATATACTGTTAAGAAAAGATGCAGAAATATATTAATTACATTACTATTTGTGTGAAGGGAGGGAGGGGAGAGAGGGCCATGAACACCAATGCATATTGTCAAAGTATCTAGAGGGATATGCAACAAACTGGTAAAAGCAATTGACTCCACATAAGTAAAACAGAATTTGGGGGCCAGGAATGTAAAGAATTGTCATTATTAACCCTTTTGCAATTATTTATTTTACTATCAATGAATATGAAAAAAGCCCCATCAATGTACCTCGGAATCCTCTCTATCTCTATACCATTAAGTCACATCTACATCATCTTTAAATTTCTAATAGACCCTTCCTATGCTATTCCACACTCACTCACTCCTAAGTACATGTTTAATATAGCTGCCATTGTTATCATCCTAAAACACAGGATGATTTGACTACTTAACAGACTTTACAAACTGCTGTTTGGATTGTACCATCTAAAAGCAAAGACATTTCAGCTGACACACTTATTTTGTATGGATAAAATATTTTTAAAAAATATTTTAGTTGCTAATATTTAAAAACTTTGCTACTTCAGATTAAATCTAGATTTCTCTGAGCTCCTATAAAACAGGAACCCCTATAACACAGAGTTTGCATCTCTCTGTGACAAAATAAGCTGAGCAGCTACTGCCTTTAGACAGAACATGAACCTCCTTTCCAGTTTGCCAGTCTCCATCCACCTCTCCAACATACTAGCTGCTTAACTTATTTTTTTACTATCATTCCCTTCCCATTCTATGTAGATATTTGAGATCATTAATCTACAGCAGGAAATACAAATTCCTTATCATGATATAAAAACTTTTATGTCTGATTCAAAACTATATTTACACACAGAACTTTTATCAGAAATTTCATGCTCTCCAATCATAGCAAGCTTCTCCCCATTTCCTTAACTCCTATGCTCTTATGGTCTTTGGATCTGTTTTGCTTCCTCAAGACCTATTTACACAATTTTACCTAGGAATCTGGTCTCAAATTCCCTTCCTTCTCTCCAAATATATAGCTGATTCTGTACTATCATAGTATTGTACTTTACGTATATATTATAACCTGTTGAAACACAGGCATTAAGTTTGCACTGCATTAAGTTTGCACAAAGTAGAAGGGAAAGGGATTACATCATTATGTTGAGTAGATAGTACTGACTGGTAGGGCAATTAATTAATTATATTAAAAGAGGGAGAGAGATAGCAAAGGTTTTTAGTAGAAATAAAATGTGCTATGGAGTATATTTAGATATGAGTATGCAGATGCATGTGACCTTGTACAGAATCCAACAAAATATGCAGAATTATATGATGTCTGAATTATGTGAACATGAAAGGGGAGCCAACATTACAAAAGACAGAGATCTGTGCAGGCCCCACTATCGGCTACCTCAATAACAAGGCCCAACTCTATGATAATATTAAAATGTTAAAACTGCATGCAAAGTAAGAGTAAATAAAAACAAATCTAGCTAGCTCTGTCTTAGGGTTTCAGGGAAGTAAACAAGTATTTATGTGGTAGTGAAATCACTAGGGGAAAAATCTAGATTATATATAGAAGTAGAAACTTCAGGTTTCAAACGTGTTGTATTTCCTATTGACTGGTATAAAGGATCAACTAAATGTTTAGAGATCAAGTTACCTAGCCCTCATGGAAGAAAACTCTATATGGTGGAGGGTGAGTCCAGACTAGAACAAAGTAGGACCCCCAAAATATATGTAGCAGTCTAGAGCAGGGCTGGCAGACTACTATCCACAGACTAAATCTGACCCAATGACAGCCTCTTGAATAATGCATGATAAGAATAGTTAGCCATATTTAAATTGTTAAAAGAAGAAGAAGAAGAAAAGAAAAACCTGGAATAACTTTTTGTGACAGGTAAAAATGATCTGATTCAAATATCCTGTCAATAAATGAGGTATTATAAGAAAACAACCATACCCATCCATTTACATATTGGCTATGGTTGCTTGCACACTACAATGACAGAACTGAGTAGTGGTAACAGAAAGCTTATGAGCTAAGCCTGAAATATTACTGTCTGGCCCTTTACTCACCCATGGTCTACAGCCACAGTGTTTGGGTTTCAATCTCAGCTCCACCACTTTCTTCATGTGTAACCCTGGGCAAGTCACTTAATAGCTCCATGCCTCAGTTTATTTGTTTATAAAATAGAAACAATAACTACCTTTTGTAAAGCACTTAGAACAATCAATCCCTGGTTGTGCTACTGATGCGCTAATAATAAAAGTACTGGTAATTTTTATTATTAACATTGCCATCAAAGTTCCTCCTTCAATAATCTAAGAGGAAACACAAGATCTTCATAGATTTGTTCTTCTCTGCTGTGTACTGTCAATTTTGTTGAAACATAAGACATCAATTTTTCTTCACTTAAATTATGAAGCTTTTTTATATGACTAAATTCATCAAAGGGTTTCTAAAAATTTATTAGTGTATGTTTATATCAGTTTTTAATTCTGAATATGTTTAATGTTTAATGTTTGTATAATGTATATTTAATACAATATTTAATATTACCAGTCGATATACTAATCAATTTATAATTAACCTTAGTCCAAGTTGAGTTAACTAAAGTTCATTTACATAAATTGAAATATTTATTCAAAATAGAATTACTTAAAATGATTTCTATAAAAACATAAATTATTTATAGTGGGACATGTACATAATAAATAGCATGCCTTTGAATTTAAAAAATTATACCATATATAATCATACTCACTTGACTTGCATCAGTCAGTATATTGCTATGAGTTACGCAAGTTTAAATAACTCGAGTACTGGTGCAGTCCCTATTTATGAAACAAACTATATGCTGCCCTCAGGATTCTTGGAAGTCAGACTATATTTTCTCATCTATTACAAATGGTAATAAAGTACCAGACTTCCTGAAAATAAGACACACAGTAGATTGTTTGGTAGTTA